TTTTGGATAAATTAAGTACAATTTCAGTCTTTCCTCTCAAAAAATTCCATAGAAACATAATTGCTCGCAGTGGCATACCACATTCTGATAAAGGTATGAATTTTGAAATACTCACTGTTATTCTCATGGACTCTACTTTTCTTCATTTTCTGCTACTATTATTGATGCTTTTTCAGTGTCCCATAAGGTTCACTGCTATCATTTTCCATAACCTTGGCCTAAACACAAAGTTACCTGCACGAAGGTAAGTCTTGGCTTTTCAGTATTAATGCTATAATTAACTCAGTGCAAATCCATCTGTAGCATACTGCAGACTAAGCAGGTGCAGTTTTCTTGGTAAAAGATGGAATTTTTTAGGTGTAGTGAAGATAGATGAACATACAATTTTTTTGTTCAATCTAATAGTGACATGTCAGTGACATTTTGTCAACCTCATGTCAAGAAACATAGATGTTCAAATAACAACCGAAATATCACTTCAGAGATCTTTTAAAATATGAGAAGCAGCTGTCAGTGAAGAATGTGACTATACCACTAAGAATGAAGAAGTGATGGAGATTATTGTATGAGTCAAGAAAAATAAAGAACTTATACTACTTAAGACAGGACATCATGAAAAGGGACGTAATGAGACTAGCATGAGGATCTGCTGGTTATATACCTTCCTACAGCACATTCTTCCAGGACTGTATTCTACCAGGAATGTATTCATGCTTAATTTCATGCAAAATTTTTCTGTGGATATAGGTGAGTTCATTGGGGCTGATTAATTTTCGTCTTCCTATAACTGCAAGACTGTATCTGTCTTTGTGTGCTAAAAGTGAATCCCCATTGTTAGTCCTTGAAATAAACATGCAAGATTCTGTTTTTTCTTGCTTTTGCAATTAGTGTGCTAGACATGATTGTATATAAAATGCAGATAAAAATTCATTCATCTGTAATTATATGATCTCATTTGGCATCTAAATTTAGGACAAGAAATCAGTGATTAAATTTTCTTTCAAAGTCTTTGTTTATCAGCTACAGAACAAGCTTAGTAATTACCTCTTAGTTATTGTGAGAACTGTGACTTCAATATTACATTCCTAATTGGTTTTAGTTAAGGAAATTTATTTTTATAGATCACTTAGCCGACTCTTTCAGGCTGAGTGATTCTCCATTGTTTTCAATGTATAAAAGGAGGGCCTATAGATTACGTTAAAAGAAATTCATATTGTCCTACTGGTACATACAATAGTATACATACAATGAGCATACCTGAGTACACATTATCTTTTATTCTTATACGAGAAAATTCAATCCAAAATGTTGTATAAATATTCACAGATCATCCCAGCAGAGATCTGCAGTGTGCTGGAAACTGCAAAGAGCTTCATTGTCAAATTAAAATTAATTTAACATTATAACTGTGGTGGGATAAATCCACAGTTGTGGGAATGTCATGTTTATCTTCCAGTCTATTGTGCAGTCAGAATCTGAATATTTTTAACCACTACCTCACAAGTCTCTTGTAAGGGGAATTGTATGCCTGGAGCTGAATTAAACACAAGTTTGTGCTTAAATATAAAAGATTTAATATACGATGCACTGAACAGTCTTACCACCATAAGCCATTCGACAGGGAGTCTGCAAAGGTGAGGCAAAAGCTGATTCCTTTTGCACACTTGCAGCAGCACCAATCCTGTGATTGTCAGCATGGAACGCTCAGCCCAGCGTTGGATTCATTCCCCAGCCCAGCTCCGCTGCCTGAAGTGGCCTCTGAGCATTCATGTCAGTGTCCGATGGATTGCTACAAGATAACGCTGTGATACGCCTCACGCCCAAGGGAAACTTCACTCCCTATAGGAAGTCCTTCTGTCCTGTCATTCCTGTGTCCAGTCAGTTAAACCCTTTCCTGTCCTCCACATCAGGTCATTCCTTGATCACAAATTACCAATGCTGAACAGCTACAATTTGATTTTCCCCTTCACTCTGTTGGGTATGCAAATAACTCTTGTAACCTGACCACATTTACCAGATTTTCAGATGATCATCAAAATGGCAACTTTGTGGCAGAAGATTGTTCTTTCATCTTTGAAGCATAGGAACACAAGAACCTGACAACACTTGACAGAAACTTTCGACCAACTACTTAATAACATAAGCTTTTTTTTTTCCTCCCCCACTGTGTCTCAGTTATCTGAAGCAGTTTCATTATTTGCATAGAAATTTTTAAAACCCTGTGATTTTAAGCCAGGCTTTCTTCTGCTGTCCTCCTTTCAGACTGGTGAGATCTGAAAAACCTTTACCAGCTGAACAGTCTTACTTTGGATAGTTCTTGATTCATCAAAGTTCCTCTTATTTTGCAACTGATACTGATTTGTCTCTACTCCATCATTGGTATAATTTTTTTCAAAGAGTTATTTGGTCTTTATTGGCAGACAGAAGAAAATCCAGTGACAGTCCATGAACACTGCTCCTTGGAATAAACTAATCCCACCACCTGATGTGTTGATATATGTAACTGCTGCCCTTACTTTACAAATTTGTTTTACAAATCAGGATTTCTATTTTTGCATTTGAACAAACTGTACCAAAAATGAATTAATTAGTTCTTGAGATGAAATAAATTGACTAGGTGCATGAAGTATGTTGGTCTCTTGCGAGATCATTCTAAGTGCATGAAAGTTGTGAGGTTTATTTTTATCAAATAAATATTTCAAAATATATGCAAATTTTAACAAATGATGTACCTCAGTGAAGTGTAGTGGAGTCATCACTGAAGGGTTTCAGTTACTTTCACATCAGTGATTAATGGAATGGATAGTCCTGAATTCAATGTGGTTGTGTCAACAATCCAACAAATCCATAATTGTCAAAAATAAGGGAATTGGAGATTAAGGACCAGGAGTGGTGAGGTCACTGGTAATCTTTATCTCCATTGACTTCAACTAGAAACAAACAAAGTTGGCATTTTTTTAATCATTAGATGTTATATCAGCTGGAGTCTAAACCACCATTATGGTGCTAGTTCTGAATGATTGAAGAGCATTTTATAGGTAATATATGAAATGGGAGTTGTGGGTTTTTTAAAAGGACATCAGCAAAAGACCTGCTTGGGAATATGGACTTAAAATAAGAGGTCTGTAACGTATTGCAGAAAGAAACCTTAAAAGGAAGAAGCTTGACAATACAATGAATTCTCTGTTTATGGGGTTGGAGAGAATATGTATTCTATTAAGTATGAATTACAACTTAAAAATTATATTCTGCAAATGTTTCCTATATTTTGTAGTGGAAGTAATTTTTCATACTATTGCAAAAACTATTAGTATGCTTACTCAAATGATTCCACTTGGAAGGATGATATGCTTCTTTGAAATTTATACACTTGTTTCAGATTTATTTTCAAGGTGACTAATTCAAATAAGCAAATTTTAGTGGGTTTTTTTTATTTTTATTTTTTATTTTTCTGAAACAATACTTATCTAAATTTGCTTTCTTATGTGCAGGTTAATGCAGTTGAAAATATTTGTCAGTGTCTTTAAAATTAAATAAATGCTGGCATGTTGATCTGTACACACAGAAAATTATAATTTCAGCACACCAAAAAACCCCACAGAACTTAACTCTAGTAAGCCACAAGTCAAGTTGTTAAAGGTAGGAAAACACACTTTTCTTTGTACTAGCCAATAAAACAACAGGTGTAGAAATAAGGTTACTTTGATGTTTACATCATGTGTAAGAAGTGATGGCTTCTACAGAGACCATTTAATGACATGAACCTAAATAAAATATCTTGGTTGATCCCTGTAAACTTTGTGTTTTGCTATAAAGCAGATAAACTTGTGAAAATAAGGTGAATAGGATGGTTGTACTGCCTATATTGTAATAAAGCAATCTCTGTAGTAGAATAACAGAAGAATAGTTGGACTAGAGCTTTATCATATTTCAAGGGCAACAGGTAAATTCACACTTCCAGAAAAATGGATGTAGTAAGTCCAAAGTGTTACGAATTAAGACATTTCCAAAGGGATGGGGAATAAACAAATATTTTCAGGCAGTAATAAAAAATAAATATATGCCAATGCTATATACATACATACATAGGTCTGTATAGATATACAAAGATATAATTAGATGTTTATAAATATATATCTAGAGAAAAGCAAGGGATGGCAAGGACAGGATACCATAAGAATAAGTCTCTAATCACTCAGAAAAAAATATGCTGGCATTGTCTGTTTGTCAACGGGGCTTTGATATCTTGAACTCAAGGGGTAAGATAATTAAATACTATAAATTGCTATTACTTTTCTGAAATCATTGTAGGCATAGAGGAGAAAAGGATCTGCTTCGGTGATTCTTCCACAATCAAGTATGAAAGAGTGTGATATCTTTCACATACGTGCAAAACAGGAGTTAGAAGAAGAAAAGGCTTATCAATGTGTTCCCCTGCAAAACAAACTGTTCCCAGTGCTCTGTGTATAATGCTTTGTCTAATGTGCTGACACCAGTATTGTTAAAACGAAAGTCCAACTGTTATATTCCCCTTCATTCCAAAAAAGCTGAGTAAGAGGTTGGTGCTAGGTATTTATTTTCTGTCATCTGTAAGATTAGTATTTATTTTTTAACAGTTTTTTGGTTAACTGTCACAGTTCCCAGAATCAGTGCTACAGAGAGACTACAAAATACAGTTGATACCTGCTTCATAAAGTAGTTGCTTAAGAAAGATTTCTTGCTAGGCTCTTTAATACAAAAAGAGGTGAAATCCAGACAGGAAAGCTGGAGTGGGGAGGAACGTATATTACAGTGAACCTGCTTCTTGGAAACCTCAAAAAAGGAATTGAGGGACTGAAAAAATTGCACTCATCTCTTGAACATATCTGGAAATCAGAAAGGAACATGCTGCTTGGCACTAAGGAAGCTTGAAAAGTGTACTAAGTAAAATATTTCAAATGACAGGAATTTTTAGCCTAAACTAAATTAATAATTCTAACAGGTGGCTTTTATTCCCAAAGGTGCAGTGATCATCTCTAGGACTTGAACCCACAAAGTCTTAAGGTATGTTATTTATAATTTCCATAGTAGAACAAATAGAATATGTCTTCCATTACAGTTTGTAGTTATGTTGCAAGAAAGTTAAAAATTAAATAGTTTAAGTCTTATGTTTACAAATGTTAGGATTTTTTTTTCTTCATGGAAAAGGTGGGATGTATGTATATTTTATTCTTTTGGTTAGCAAGTGGGTCACAGATCATATATGTCACCATTCTTAAGTGGATGGAATAGCTTTAACTAATTCATGGACTGATAAGTCTTGTCCTATTTGTCACTTCTACTCTTAAATCATGAAATCTGAAAAAGAATAATGCAATCTCTGCATAATTATATGAAACCTTTTTTTACTGAACCATCATTTTGACACATTGTGTAGCAAAGTTCACGTTCCTGTAACTCATTATTTTAGAACTTCATCTTTCCATTTTTTTAAAAAATCAGGCTTCAGATCCAACACTGTGGAGGGAAAAATTTAAAAAAATAAGAAAAGCAGAGAGGAGGGGAGGGAAGGGATTCATCCATTGGAAACAATAATTACACCTTTTACCTTCTCTCCTTGGAGAACCAACATATGGAGGGAAGACATCTTCCTGCATTTTCCTTCCTTCCTTTCTTCCGTCCCTCCTTCTTTCCTTCCTACCTTTCCTGCCTTCCTGCCTTCCTGCCTTCCTGCCTTCCTTCCTCCCTCCCTCCACAGGGATTACACTAGTTTTAGACAATATTGAAGATTTCTAATATCCTCTGAATACCCTTGAAAATAAACTGGTCATTGTGCTAGAATCCATTATGTTGCTGAATAAGGATCAGGTCTTTGCTTCACCTTCCTTACACTATGGCTTCAAAAAGTCTACCAAACTGTAAGGAAAGATCATGATGGTACCATCACAGTACTTTCTATGCTTAAAGTTCCCAGTCTCTGTTCTAGCACATTTTAACTTTCTTTGTTTTGTTGCTATGCTACCTCTGTAATCACCTCTGTCACAAACCTGCTGAAAGAACTGAAAATTCAGTACCAACATTTAAAACAAGTCATCAGAACTGATGTTCATTGCATCATCTGTGTTCCTTTCTCTCCACTAGCTCTTTTTCTTCACCTTTTTTTTTTTTTTTTTTTTTGCCTGTGCTCTTGATTTAAGTGGTAAACCCTTGGGTCAGTTAATGGTCCATACCATTTATGCAGTATGATACAGCTCGAAACTCCTGTTATGCTGTCCTCTTTTTCCATTAGCACTACTAAAAAAAATATGATAAATAATAGAGGGATATCTCCCCACAGATTATACAGAATGAACCAAAGAGCAGTTCTCCACCTCTCTCATTTCTTTCTTCTATGAGACCTAGGCATAGTCATGACATCAAAAAGCAAGACTGGCAAAATGCTAATACTGCAATTAGCAGTGTAGTTCTCAAACCTTAGTGGGATTTCAGACCATCAGAGAGTCTAGGCTCCCAAAGCATACAGAAATGGCAGAGTGCTGTCACCAGGAATATCACAAAACCTTATATATAGAAATTAGATTCTGCTTCAATCAAACATATCTGAACAAAGAAAGTGCAAAACATAGCCACTTCATTTACTGATTTTGTTTTCACAATGGTAGAAATGCAAAAGAATGTGTAGCCTTGTTGTGGCTTTACTTTTTTTGATTCTACTAGCCTCTATTAAGAAGCAAACTATTAGGTATTTGTTCTGGGGTTATGCTTTTAAAACTATCCTCCAGACTTTAGCTTTACTGTTTCTCCAGTGTTATTATCTCAATTCACTTTCAAAAATTGGACTGCAGTAATGGTAAAAATGATCAAGTAGAGAACATAATTGATGTTAAATATTAAACCTGTCTACTTAAATAGGGTTCTGGGGGGTTTAGATATAGTGGCATGTTCTTCTTGTGCAGATTCTTTATTTAAATGCCAGTTTTGATGAATGTCTGTGACTTCAAAAGTCACTGCTAATATTATTGCACTAAAACCATTGCCTTCGCAGAGTAGAAAAAAAGTAAGCTTTCATTTTTTTACTATCATAAAACAGTATACTGTTATAATACAGTTCAAGCTGATATGTCTCAAGGTACTGTGAAGCAAGTAGAAGTTGTTGACTATTTCTTTCATTCTTTCAACTGTTTTATAGGACTTCATGGAATTACAGAATGGATGAGGATGGTAGGAGTCTCTGGAGACAGTCTAGTTCAGTGCCCCTACTCTAAGTAGGATCAGCTAAAGTAGGTTGCTTAGGAATTTGCACAGGCAGATTTTGAATGTCTTCAAAGATGACAACTCCACAGTCTCCTGGGCAACATACTCCAGTGTTCAAACAATCTCACAGTAAAAATTGTTTTCTTGTGTTCAGATAGAATTTCATTTATTCCAGTTTGTGGATGTGTCTTGTCTTGCCATTTGGCACTACTGCAGAGAGTTTAACTTCACCTTCTTCATTCCCTTCCAATGTGTGTTTATACACATGGATATAAGATCCCATTGAACTTTTTTTCCCCAAGATAAACAGTCCCAGCCACTGTTAGTCATTCCTCATATGAGAGATACTCCAATCCATCACCTTTCTGACCCTGTACTGAAGTTACTGTAGTATGTCCATGTCACTTGTATTAGAGAGAGCAGAGCTGTGCACAACCCTCCAGATCTGTCTCACCAGGGAGGAGGGACCAGTTGCCTCAAACTGCAAGCAACACCCCTCCTAATGCAGACCCTCCTCTTTCCTCCAATGGCAGTGTGCTGGAATATGGTCAGCTTATCTCCCAGGAACTCCAGGTTCTTCTCTGCAGATCTGGGTGCTAGCCAGTCAATTCCTGCCATACACTGGCTCTGGAAGTGTCATTCCTCCCCCAGTTTGCATTTCCCTTTGTTGAACTTTGTAAAGTTCCTGTTGACCATTGCTGCAGCTTGTTGACACTCCTCTAAATGTCAGTACATCCATCGGATGTATTAACCCCTCCTTCCTGTTTTGAGTCATCAAATTACTGAAGGTGAACTCTTTCCTGTTTTCCAGGTCTTCAAAAATGAATTAAAGGGTTTTGGCCCCAGTATCTACCCCTGAAGTGAACCAATAGTGATTTCTCATGGATCTTGGGCTACTAACTGAAATATTTCCAGCAGTTTAAACAATTTTCAGTTCACTGTAGTATGCGCTTATCTAACCCATTATACATCAGTTTTTACATGGGGATATCATGGGAAACAATGATTAAAATTTTAATAAAGTTGGGGTAAACTACATCCGCTGCTCACCCTTCATCCACCAAGGTCATCATCTCATCATATAAAAAATACAAGTTTTGCTGAATGTCTCTGACCCTCAAAATAATATTATTTCATATCATGTCCCCTCCATAAATCTATGATGACTACTCCCAATGAACTTCTTATCATTTAGGTTTGGAAAAGATTTCCAGGATTTCTTTTTATAATTTGCTTGTAGTATCCCTAGATACTTCTCTTGAAGATAGGGATGATCTTTACATTCTCCCATTCTTTAGGGACCTCTCCTGTGAGCACCCTGCCAGGCCTCTTGCACTGCTATTGTCCTTCACCAAAGGTAACTCTTCATTCTCTTCATTGCTCCAGGCATTTCCTCTGGTCTCGTGGGTTTGAGACTCCTGAGGACTCCTCTTGCCAGTAAAAAATGAGGGTGAAGGAGACACCAAGTCAGACTTGACTGTGTTCTTTGTCATGAGAGCCCCTTACCCATTTGAATGTAGGCCCACATTTTCCCTAGTTTTCTATTTACTATTAATCTACTTGTTGTAGCTTGTCTTGTTACCTTTCAAATCCCTTGAGAGGTATAAGTTCAGATGGGCTTTTGCTGTTCTAACCCTACACCAGCACCCCCTGAGAGTGTCCCTGCTTCTACTCTCGGCATGCTTCCTGCTTATGTTTGCTTTTATTAAGGAGTTAATCTATCAAGGCTTCTCACCCACCTGTATTTAACTTCTGCATGTGGTGATGGACCACCCCTGTGCTGGGGGGCAGATGGTCCTTGCAAAAATCAATCAGCTTTTTCCCCCGAAAAGTAAGGAAAAGAGTGAACATGAGTGGATCTACGACAAGAACTCTTCAGAAAATGAGAAAAAAAGTAATTCCTAAATAATAAATGATTTTATTTTTACTCTTCACAATAATCTAGATTTCATTTATGAGCCTTGTGTACAATCTACTCCATATTCTTTGTCACTTTCTGTAGGTGTGTGTGTAAACTGTCTTTAAAGAACTGGCCTATGTTTTACCCTCAACTCTAGCTTTTACTCAGGTAAAGATGAAATGTACTTACTCAGGTAGGATGAAAGGAGGCTTTGGAACATCTTGAAGGAGGAATCTTCCTCTGTGTTGTCCTGACCCAGTAGGTGATCTCCATTTGTCAGCACAGATATATGGATTTGGGTTAGCATGTTTGCAGGAATTTTGCCTTTTCCTCCATCACTGGCATTAAGAGACAAGTGTACACTGGGTTAGGTACTGTTCCTGGCTACTTTTTTACTCCAAATTATTCTAGTTTTGAGGAGTTTTTTCTTTCTCCAGAGAAATGATTGGTCAACACCAGGCATCAGTGTTTGTCTTGATAGTAATTTCAGCCCAGTTTTCCTTATTCTGACTCAGAAATGCCACTAGAATATTAACAAATTTTAGTTTCTGGAGATCTTGACCTTTATCCAGCTGATTTATCCCTTCATCATATCACCTTCTGTCTTTCTCACTTACATTAAAGATCAAAGTTGTTTCAATTTGGTCTTACAATCCTCATGCATCAAAATCTAAAATCTTTGTTAATCTTCTTCTTTACACTGTAAGATGCAAAAATACCACTCAATTTTATGTAATTATCCTGAGTATTTAACTTTGGTCATACACAATCTAGCAGATGCTGAGAATTTTAAGGCAATAATTGAATAAAAATTTTCCATTGTTTTTTCTAGGAGATAGTCATAAAACCTTTATTTTTTGTTTAGACTCCTTCATGATCTATGATGTTACATTTCTGGGGAAAACTTTCTTATTACTATGGAAATCACAAACAAAGAAAATCACTCTTTCTCATATATTTTGAGTTCTGTAGTAGGTATTCTGGATATATTAGTGTCTTCCTCTGTCTTGCTAAAATTCAGTTCTGCATCTGATCGTGAAAACCCATGCATCAGTCAGTGACTGATCTGTCTGCACTGGATTAGATAAAAAATCCATCAATATCTCAAAGCGACCTATTCAGTGGATTTTCAAAATACGTTCCACTAATCTATCACATATCCTGCATTCATCTGACCTGGTGTATAAGTACATTCGTAAAATCCTGGATATCCTTTATCTTCCATTTGAAGTCATTGTTGATAAATTTTGTACACTTGGAAACTGTTTTTAATGGTTATGCATCATGCTTCAGATGCACTGAACTCTGAACTGGGCTAAGTGCAATCTTGTCTCTTTTTTAGAAATACCTTCTGTTTGTGTAACTTTTGGAAAACCTGCTAATGTGGAGGAAGACTGAGCAACAGCTGATCCACTTGTTGCAGTCTAACAAATTTTAAGGTTCCATACTATATGCTAACTATTGAAGCACCTTGAAAAATTAGACAAGAAATTTACTGGTATTTTACTTCAGATATTTCTCAGTGTGGATGCTTTTTATCTTACATACATAGATGTTCCACTAGCATTCACCCCTGTGCCCATATTTTCCTGTTCCATATTAAAAATCATATGCAGCACTTTTGAAAAATGGCCATTCATAATTTTGGGGATGTTAAGGACTAGTGCTCTGTCACTGTGTAAATTTCAACAGGGACTGAAATAACAAAATTATTAAGGAAAGCCCTGTTCAGTGTATCTTCTGGATGGACTGACCATTATCTGGTTGCCACCTGGTACTCTCTTTAAAAATCTTTAAAAATTCTAAATTTCCATGGCTTCAGTATAAACATCGTGTAATACGCCACCTGAGTTCTTTATCTGTTTATGTGCCTTTTTGCACTAAAGAGAAGAGCATGCTATTGGTGTGAGTTAGCACTGCATCTGGTTACGTTACATTTTTCCATTAAAGAAAGATACTGTAAAGAATGGTACTCAGAAAAGTTCTTATGGAACAGCTAACTATAATTTTAGTGAGATCTTGCCATGACCTTTCTCAGATAAGATTCTCTTTGGTTCAGAAGAAGATATTCATTTTTGTACAAAAAAGGACTTACAGGTCTATGTATGAAAAGATGCAGTTTAAAAAAAATATAAATACTATTTATTAATGCTGACAGTTTTATTGGGTCAATAAGTACAACAGAGCTGCATACTCAGCAAAAACACATTGCCTGGATCGTGAGCTTCTCAGTCTCTGTCTTGTTTACCAGGTGATATTTATGGCTTTATACTCCTTTATAATGTAGTCACTGATTCAGTGCTCATGTTTCCTTATCCTAAGACACAGTTGAGTATATTTCAATAAAAATGAAAGAAAATCTGTGTTTTCCAGGTTCACTGCAAGCATTCTGAGTGTGGTGTCGTGAGAGATGCTGTTGTCCATGAGAGGCTGGGATTATCATGATCAAGTGCTGTATTTTGATTTCATCCAGTGGCTGAGAGATTTGTGGGGTAAAGAGGAAGTACTGAACTTTTAAAACTATTAAACAGGTAAGTCTATTAAAATAAGTTGGGGGGGGGGGTTTGACAGTTTTCAGGCTTATTTCAATTGCAGGTCCTATTTAACTGCTTCTTCCCCCCCCCCCCCCCCCCCCCCCCAAAAAAAAAATCTGCATTTCACAACCTCAAATGACCATTGCAATTTCTGTTCTACACAGCTCTTTATTTCATGTAGAAAGCTGTTTTCTTTACAGAAAACATGATTTTTACAAAAGGAAACTGCTATTTCCTTATGCTGTGATAGCAAGAAGAACCTATGTTATAGACAGTAGCATGTCACTACTATGAAAGCAAAAATGTAAGTAACTAGGCTAACAGAGGAGTTTAGTAGCTTCTATTGCAAGCTATTATATTCAAATACTGTTACATGTTACCTGTATGAATTTTGGGGCTGATTTCCTGTTTATGTCAAGGGGTTTTTTACCATAATATTTTGTTTTATTATTAGATATTGAGAATTCTCTCTCCCCTAAGTAAGATACCTGTTTAAACAATACATCTCATTCCTTAGAGCAATTTGTAGAACTTAACTGACCTAACATAAAGCAATTTGCTATGGGTAGATTTAAACAAAGTACAAAGATCAAAAGCCTATCTTGTCTGACTTTGATGGATGGTTCACAAAAAAAGTGAGGAGAGCATGAACAGTTTATGGGTTTTTTGGTTGGGTTTTTTTTGTGTTGTTGTTTTTTTTTTCCTGTATGTTGCTGTAGTTTTAATCTTTTCAAGTCAAGATCTTAGAAACTATACAGGAACATGGTGCTCTGGCAGAAAATAAACTGCTCTATCAAGATTATTTCATGAACTCAGACTCAATCAACTTATGTCTGATTAAGGTGGATCATACTCATGTTTTCATCTTTTGTTTGGTAAAGAGTAAGGAATGATATTTAATAAAAGTATTCAGGTCTGTCTTGGAGTGTGTCTAGGGCAGCAGTAGATACTGGTGCACAAATTCCAGCCTTATGCCAGCGTGAATTGCACATTACAAATATACAGTTTGGCTGAGGAAACAACAGAGCAATGTTCAGGTGACACTGTACCTTGTTATCCTGACTGTGCAACTTACAGATGTTGTCTTCACATGCATTTCTCCAGACTTCTGGGTTAAGAGTACACTCAGGTAGATGCAGGTCACCTATAGCTGTATCTATATCACAGCTGCACTCCCATTGTTTCTGGGAGTGTTTCTTCCCGTTGCTCTGCCTGTTTTCAAAACAAATATTTCCGACCAAATTATTTTTGTAACAGTCAGAAAAAGTATATTTTCTTGACCATGTAGCTCTGCAACTGAATTGTCCTCTGAATTCAAAACTAGTGATTTGAGACATAGATTATTTAAAAAAATATTTTCACTAAATTATGTTCTTCAAAAAAAAAAAAGGGGTGGGAACCAATGACTGAAAAAAAGATGACTAACAAATTAATAAACCAAATACAGTGTTCCATGTTATCTCTGAGATAAAAAATTCAGTAATTTTAATGATAATATAGAGTGATAAAATAGAAATGTGTTTAAAAATAGTATTTTATGTTTCTAATTTCCCATTATTTTCCTACAGAAACTTTAAGTCTGGTAAAATATTTTCTTCATATGTCTATGGTAGCTTTATTCTGATGACATTAATGTAGTGTTGAAGTCAACTGTTGAATCAGGATTGTTTATGCTTTGCTAATATTTATCTCCTTTTGACTTAGTTTTTTATCCATTTTTAAAAGAAATTGTTTGTAGTATTTAATTGAAGGGTTAGCTATTAAGTAGAAGTCGACAATGATAACACTGTCAATCATAGTTCAAAGCTCTGGGACTGTGTTTTATGTGGAACACAAGAAGCAAAATGAAAATTAATTCCTTATTTTGCCTTTCAGAAAGTATTGCTTTTTCTTTCTGCTGTCCCTCATTTGTAGAAGTCTTTTGTAATCTGTATTGTAAAAACTAAGTATACTTAAAACCTTGTTACATTTGTTATCTCAATAAGGGTTCAAATTTTTCACTGTTTGCTTCAGAGGTAACCTGTGTTTCCAGCTGCATAGCTTTCCATGATACTATGCTGACCAAATAAATGGGCAGAAAATTAGGAGCTGTACAAACAGGTTGTGGGAGGAAACATTTCTCAAAAGACTTAAAACTGAATTATTGAACACTGAAAAATTTTTGCTAAATTAAGAGCTGTCATGGCTTCCAAAAAATTGTTTTCTACGCTCTACAAAACCTTTCCCTTCAAACTTCATCCTTAGAGTTTTGTGTCTGGGGTTTTTTTGTTTGGGATTTTTGTTGTTGCTGCATTGTTTGGGTTTTTTTGTTTGGTTGATTTGGTTTGGTTTTTTGTTTGGGGGAGGAGGTTGTTTCTTTTGTGGGTTTTTTTTTGTTTCAGGATTTTGTTTGGTTTGGGCTGGGGGTTTTTTGGGGGGTGGTTTTGTTTGCTTGTTTTTATTTTGTTATGAACTCACAAAAAAACTTCAAAATGAAGTGAGAAAATTACCTACCAAATCAAGATCTTCCTATTTCCACCTCTAATTTTGTTTGGTGGCACTATGCACTCAGTATCCTATCAAGGCCCAGTGCTCTTTTAGGTACTGGAGAGAGAACAAGAGCAACCTTAGTCACTTAGTGAACAACTCAGATGATTTTGTAAGACACTCTTTTCAGTTCATGGAAGCTTAAAGCAGCTCCTCGAACAGTAAAAATAAGACACTATTTGTATGAGAGGTAAAATCTTTTTCAGGAAATTTCAATTCTCTTTCTAGGTTCTTATGATATGGTTATAATCTGATTCCATGAAGCCAAGCCTAGCTCAGATTGTCTTATGCTGTTTTAAACAAACGCTGTGTACCTTTATAAGTTTCTGCATAACAGAACTCTAAATATAATACTCATATATGTGTCAAACTCATAATATTTCCATGACTATTAACAAAAAATGAAAACGTTCCAAAAGGTGTGAGTTCACATCATGAAAACTTTGCATTTACCATTCACAACAAAGCTGAATGTGATATGCAAACTGGGTGACTGTGCTGTGTTTTCTGCAAAAACCTGGGGGCAATTATAAGTTTTAGTTCTGGAGACTTTATGTGACTGACAATACTACCACGTCCTTTCTTCAGGGTCATTGTGGATGTGCAAAGATTTGAAACCTTTAAATTTTTATTTTTAATTCTCATTATATCGTTATTCTCACCTTTTGATTTTTGAGTCCTAAATTATATAATACTTTCTGAAAGAAAATAAATTTATATAAATCTTTTTTTCCTTTCCATTTGAGGTCAGGTAATTAATTTTATTAGATTTTTTTTTTTCATAAATCTTATAGGGAAAATCTGTTTACACAGTTAAGTGAGGGAAAGAATATTCAATAAACTTCTGAGAAAAAAAAATCACTTTTCCTGTGTAAACACTGAGGGAACAGGACCCACACTTTACTGATCTTTTAGTTAATATACTTAAAATGGAGGATTATTTCTTCCTCTTATTTTTTTCTCTTCTACTCCTCTTTCCCTCTGCAGTTCTTTAACAGATTTTTCTGCATCTCATAGCTCATGATGTAAGTAAATGGATTGTGTTGGCAGTGATGCTTTCTGGCACCCCAAGTGGGAAATAAGTGAGTATGCTGTCATGGAAGGGTGTGAAAAGGGCCAGGAGGAGGAACAACAGGAAAAGAAAGCTAATTTGATGCCTTCCATTAAGTCATTAAATGAAAATGGAAAAGTGAAAGGCTGAGGAAAGATTCCACAATAGGAGGAAAGAAAGTTTTGACCGAGTAAGAAAACAGTCCAAACCTATCCTCTTGAACAGAGGACATGGACAGTGTGGACAAAAAAAGTCACAAGTCATCTCCAAACACGGCCCATTAAGACTGTCACTTTACACTGGTTGATCCTACTATTGTGCAGCATGGGCACTGAGGATGTACAGGAGGCAAATTAAGAGGTGCAGCTCCAACCCAGCCTTCCCGAGAGCTAGAGAGAGAGATTAGACCTGCTCTTATCTACTCTTCCGGGAGACCCTTCTCCCTGAAGTCAAATAAACATAAATTTCATCCAGCTTGGTCAGCTTCATCTGCTAATATGAAGAAGAATGGATTAGGTAGTGCTTGCTTTAAATAGAATAGTGCATAATGGAACTGCTCATTTCTCTTCTTTGTACTCTAGATTGTCAACCCCATCGGTCTTTACTGCCCGTAGATTACTTAAACACAACTTTGCACAATGGGCAATATCAGCCCAGAATGGGTTAAAATACAGAGATTTTATATCTCAAAACTCACTCCCATATGCATTTGTAAAAATGAAATCTCATAATCCTTTCTCAAATTTATGTTTCAATTAGAAACAAAATCTCTTCTTCTAAACTTTATTTCTGTTATTCAGTTTCTATCCATCAGGTTTTATCCTTCTATTCATAATTTTATCACCTCATCAATAAATAAATTTCAATTGTCTAGCAAGTACAGCAGGCAGACAACAGAAATCAAATGTACCAAATGTCACCATGCTTGCTTATAAAAAAAATTACCTCCTAGGGAAAGTTACAAAAATTGTTTCATTACAGATGATCTTACAAAAATATGAGACAAAGAAATCACAAATACAGAGAAAGGCTCGGGGAGATCATGAGTGTGCCAATACAAGTATCCTGTTGCTGATAAGAGGAGCCAAAGTCCCATAAGACTGACTTCTTCAATAAAACCTTACGTCTCACAAATCAAGGTGCAACTGAAAACTGGAAATTATACAATCTTGAGCAGATTAACAAACAAGGCCCTGAATCTTAGCCTTCTTGTAATATTTTTCACATGTTTTTAAAACCTGTAAATCCTCTTGAATGTTTATGACTTCACAGAAATAGATAAATGGAAAAGAAGTGAAAAAAAAAAACCAAAACAACAAACCAACAACTAAAAAGCGGATCTCGGTGTCAAAAGAAGTACCAGGTTATTTGAGTAATTCCTTCTAGTTTCCAACCCTTTGCTACACAGTGTGTGGATAGA